AAAGCCAGGGTAAGCTGCTTGTTGTACTGATGTTCTTCAAAATTGTCCATGTTTGGTGTCGTAAGTGCGTCTGCGCCTCGCCATAAACACACGTTAGTCTCCACTTATCCTCTCCCTGCTCCTCTACAGATACATCAAGGTGGTAAACAGAGTAACCAAGAATTTCAACTTTTATTTCATTGTTCCAAAACAAACCGATACCACCACTCCTACCTTGACTATCAACTGCATAAGCATTATCAAAACCAATAGAACTAGCTAAAGCTTCTACCCTAGAGCCTTCAATATGTGTCTCCACAATACAGAGTAGGGTAGGGGCATACTTCCTCGTAAATTCGCGAAGTTCTCGGGCTGCCGCGGGTTTGCCCGCTCCACGGCAGTTCCAGCAAAGGGCACTCATTGGGCCTGGTGGCGCTCCTCGAAGGAGCCCGCCAAACTCTTCACTGCCGAAACCTGTCCATCACTGCCATCATCTTCCTTTCGGGTCCTCTTGGGTTCTCTCTGTGGGGGTGGGCTGGACAAGGAAGTGCCCACTGGCACGATTGCTAGCTTATCTGCAGCATCACCCTTTGTGTTGTTGTGCACATTACCCTCCAGCGGCAGCCCAGCCAACCTCTTCCTCGTGAGATCATCCATATTAGCATCTTTGCCTTTGCCGTCCACTACCATGTCATCCTCTCTCCTTCCCGTCTCCTGATGAGCTGGGAAGTTGTTCATGTCGGCCTCGCGTCGATTGCCTGAACGCCCCCCTGTCCGGCCTCCCCTACGGCCACCTCTCCGACCTCGGCCCTCTCCAGGACCTTGGCTTGCGCGCATGGCCCAGCTAGCTCATAAATCCTTGAAGACTAGAGCCGAAGGGGGATGAATCCCAGTACCGTGTTCCTTATAAAGATGACCCAACATGCCACACACGGCGCACCAATCAGGCAGCTTCTCATACTTTTACCCTATAGATCTGTCTTCCCCCCCCCCCTCTAATCATAGACACAGCGTTCTTCAGGGGTTTAAACACATTCAGCCGGATCCACACCCTATGGAAGTTCCCCACAAAATCATGAGACGGTTGTTCTGTGAATAGCACTTCCCCCACCTTTGCGGCTAGTGGAGTAACCAGGTGAGCAAACAGATCTGGACATGATCCATATGTCAATCGTCTCCAGCTTGATGGATGAAGGTTTTGAGACCCCATCATAAGGCGCAAGAAGCACTGCATCCCCTCGGAAATTCCAAGGTCCCTCATGCATAACTCTCTCCCAATCTCCTAAACAGGACAGTTGAACTGAGTACAGATTATCTTCCAAGGGCTTAAATTTGGCCTCCTGTGCTATATTCCATGCTGACCGCATGTTTCTGTAGAACCACGTCTGACTGTATGATTTGGAGGTGTTTACCCTAGCCAGAGCAATCCATCTGGGTCCCTGTGGAGGCGCATCTTTCTCATCAAAGATCACATCATCAAGATCTTCTTCCTTCAGCCCAAGTTCTGCCATCATCCGCTCGACATCGCTTGCGCCCGAGGAGCCCGAGGCCCCTTCAGCCGCCATCAGAAGAACCTTACCCGATGCAAAAGTGACCGGGTATATTGGGGAGACCCTAGAACCACCGTTCCCTGCCTAACCTCGCGCGAGAAGAGTGCGACGGAGGAAGACAGAGAGAGATCGCTGATAGGGAAGGAAAAGCGATCTACTCGACGACATCGTAGTCGCCGCCGCGAGAAACAAAAACCCTAACTCGAGGGAACTGCACTTTTCCTTTATCTAGAAAAAACTGGGCTTTTTTGGCCCAACTAGAGGCTCGAGGGTTTTTATAGTGGTTAGCCTGGAGTTAATTGCACAGAAGTACCACAATTCAGGCATCACATGCAGATTGGTACCACGATTGCTAATTTTTGCGTGTCAGTACCAACATTGGTCCAAATTTTTGCAAATTGGACAAAAACGCGTATTTATACGTATTGACGCCCGATCCGACAGGTCGGGCCCACCCGTCAGGTGCCACGCTGGCCAATCGGCGCGTGCCCGCGTGCTGACTAGGACGAGCCGGTGCGCTGCTGTCCTAACCGGTCCGGTCGCACCAGCTCCAGCCCGGCCGCACCATTCCCCTCCCCCTCCTCCTCCTCGCTCGAAACCTAGTCCATGGCGTCGGCGATTCCGCCAGTCGGCGGTGAGGGCATCCACGGCGGCGGCGAGGGCGTCCACAGCGGCGGCGAGATGCCGTTCTGGCCTCCTAGCGGAACGGTTGGCGTCGACGGGGATGGCGGCGATGAGTCCAGCTCCGCGTACTCGACCGACGACGAGGAGTCGATGTTACTCACCATGGAGCAGCGGTTGCGGTTGGCGCATCAGTGGGTGGCGAACCCTAGCAGCAGCCATGAGTTGACGCATGGACTTGGCGGCGTGCTGTAAGTACCCTTGTCCTACTCCTCTGATTCATCCAATTGGGCATTTTTAGGGTTTGTTCATCTTCTGCTTTATCTAGTTGGGGATTAGGTTTTATCCAATTGAAGTGACTAGACTAACCTAGTAAGATAGTGTATTGCACTCTCAATTTAGTTCAATTACTGTGGCTCTCCAAATTGTTCTGTACTGTTTCGTACTGTAATTTAAGCTGTTTTGTACTTTACTGTTGCTCTCCAAAATTTGCTTTTGTGCTAAATTAGTAAATAATAGACTTACAGGTTACTTTAAATTGTAATGTACTGTACTGTTGCTCTCCAAATTAAGAGTAATTATAATGAATAAATGAAATTTAATTTTTTCTGTAGTTTGGATGAAGACATTTGGCAAGTAAGGATCCATTTTGATGCAAGAGAACCATTGGAGATGAAGCTGTGTGGTTCAGATATTACTTATTTGAATTTGGTTGCAGTGATGGAAACCCAAGGATTTAATGCATATGATTGTTTGTTTCACATTGAAAATCCATCTTTAGGAGAGAAAGGGCTGGATTTGGTAGACAGTCATGCAGAATTACAGATGATAAAGAGGAAGATCCAGGACAAATTGGTGCTTAATTTGCTAGTCAGGGCTTGTCCACCCCCTGATACTGATTTTGAGAGGCAGCATTTTGAAAAGCCAGACTTGTCCACTGTGGTGTACCAAGAGCCTGTTGTTTATGATCTGAGTGAGCCTCCTATCTTAGCTGTTGATCAGGAAGGAGTAGTCTTTGAGAGTCAATGTAGCACACATCACCCTGTTGCTCCTGCTGGTGTTTGCACACAAGAAAGCAGAAATGCAACTAACAAGTTGAAAGCAGTTTTGGAAGAAGAAGAAGAGGGATACCAAGGATTTGAGGCTTATGAGGACAGTGATTCCTCTGATGAGGATGGTCAAATTGGAAGTGACCCTAATTACATGGTTGATGAAGAAGATGTAGAGGTGGAAGAGGGTAAGAGGCAGAGAGAGCTAGAAGTACAAGAGGAAGAATCAGATGATGATCAATCAGAAGAGGAAGAAATGCTGCATTATGAGGGTGACACTGAAGTTGAGGACCCATTTGAGGTAGAGGAAGATAGGACTTTTGAACAAGAAGAAGAAACTATAGTTGAACCTGTAAAGAAGAAGCAGAAGCTGCCAGTTAGAAGAGGCCCAACCACTAGGTCACATTGTAGTGAGCTACCAGAGGTTGAACCTGATTTCAGACCATCATCAGATGAAGAAGAGGAGGGGTTGTTGAGGGAGAGTGATGATGATGGTTTTCAGCCACTCTCTTTTGTCCTACAAAAGAAAAGGAAGAGTAGGGCAAAGAAAAGGCCTCCTAGGAAGTGGTACAATGAGAAAATGGAGCAACCACATGAGCAACTGTGTATGAAGTTGTGTTTTAGGGATCAACATCAATTCAGAGAAGCTTTGTTGAATTTGCACATCACCCAGGCCAGGAATTTCAGGTATCACAGGAATTCAGATCAGAGGATAATTGTTGAGTGTACAGATAAAAAATGCCAGTTCTTAATGGTGGCAGCAGTTATAAAAGGGGAGAAAACATTTGTAATTAAGAAGATGAGACTAGAGCACACTTGCCCTAGTACCACTGAGACCACCAGGTTAGTGCTAAGTGGCTAGCACAGAAATATGAGCATCTCTTTAGATCTGATATAACTACTGGTATTCAGACTATAATTGATGCATGCAATGAAAAATATGGTGTAGATGTGCCCAAGTGCATGGCATATAGGGCAAAGAACATAGCTATTGATGCTGTGTTAGGAGATCACAGGAAGCAATATCCTAGGCTTAAAGACTATGCTCAGACTGTCATGGACACAAACCCTGGGAGTAGAGTAATAGTCACTACTGTTACTCCAGTACCTAATGCAAAAATACCCCACCCAGGCCCAAGATTCCATGCCATGTTTTTTTGCCTTAATGGAGCAAGGGAGGGGTTTCTCAATGGGTGTAGGCCTTTCATTGGTTAGTTCTTGAACCTTGTGTGAACCATTTACATATCTGCAGCTTATCTGCAGCATCACCCTTTGTGTTGTTGTGCACATTACCCTCCAGCGGCAGCCCAGCCAACCTCTTCCTCGTGAGATCATCCATATTAGCATCTTTGCCTTTGCCGTCCACTACCATGTCATCCTCTCTCCTTCCCGTCTCCTGATGAGCTGGGAAGTTGTTCATGTCGGCCTCGCGTCGATTGCCTGAACGCCCCCCTGTCCGGCCTCCCCTACGGCCACCTCTCCGACCTCGGCCCTCTCCAGGACCTTGGCTTGCGCGCATGGCCCAGCTAGCTCATAAATCCTTGAAGACTAGAGCCGAAGGGGGATGAATCCCAGTACCGTGTTCCTTATAAAGATGACCCAACATGCCACACACGGCGCACCAATCAGGCAGCTTCTCATACTTTACCCTATAGATCTGTCTTCCCCCCCCCCCCTCTGATCATAGACACAGCGTTCTTCAGGGGTTTAAACACATTCAGCCGGATCCACACCCTATGGAAGTTCCCCACAAAATCATGAGACGGTTGTTCTGTGAATAGCACTTCCCTCGCCTTTGCGGCTAGTGGAGTAACCAGGTGAGCAAACAGATCTGGAACATGATCCATATGTCAATCGTCTCCAGCTTGATGGATGAAGGTTTTGAGACCCCATCATAAGGCGCAAGAAGCACTGCATCCCCTTGGAAATTCCAAGGTCCCTCATGCATAACTCTCTCCCAATCTCCTAAACAGGACAGTTGAACTGAGTACAGATTATCTTCCAAGGGCTTAAATTTGGCCTCCTGTGCTATATTCCATGCTGACCGCATGTTTCTGTAGAACCACGTCTGACTGTATGATTTGGAGGTGTTTACCCTAGCCAGAGCAATCCATCTGGGTCCCTGTGGAGGCGCATCTTTCTCATCAAAGATCACATCATCAAGATCTTCTTCCTTCAGCCCAAGTTCTGCCATCATCCGCTCGACATCGCTTGCGCCCGAGGAGCCTGAGGCCCCTTCAGCCGCCATCAGAAGAACCTTACCCGATGCAAAAGTGACCGGGTATATTGGGGAGACCCTAGAACCACCGTTCCCTGCCTAACCTCGCGCGAGAAGAGTGCGACGGAGGAAGACAGAGAGAGATCGCTGATAGGGAAGGAAAAGCGATCTACTCGACGGCATCGTAGTCGCCGCCGCGAGAAACAAAAACCCTAACTCGAGGGAACTGCACTTTTCCTTTATCTAGAAAAAACTGGGCTTTTTTGGCCCAACTAGAGGCTCGAGGGTTTTTATAGTGGTTAGCCTGGGGGCCTGCGAGCGAAGCAGTCGTTCGTTCCACTCCTTCCCCCGATCGAATTTTCGTTCGGCAGGGAGATCGTCCCGTGGGGAACGACTCGTTCGGACGGGGGTTTCTCAGGGTCCAAATTTTTTTTCACAAGATACCGGCTGCCTCAAATCGAATCTGGAGAACACAATCGCGTATCCTTGTTCCCATGGGGTCGACAGACCCACCTGGTGCCGAGAGGAGGAGGCCTGCTCCTCCGCCGCCGTCCCCTATCGTCCACCTCTCCTTCAGCAGCGACGCGTCCTGCTTCGTCGTCGCCGGCACCTCCAGCGTGCATTGGCTTTCATGTGACACCTTCGGCCTGCGTGGCCTCTACCAAGAAAAAGATGCCAGAAAGACCATCGCCGCAGCGGCCGGCGACATGCTCAGCCTCAAGGAATCAGCATGTGCCACCATGAGCTGCGTCGACAGCACCAAGTTCTTCATCCGGCGTTGGAAGCCGGGATACATGAACTACCACTGGCGGTACTTCGAGGGGGAGAAGACATACACCGGAGGCGAAGACGACGTGCGGGCAGTGCGCGTTCACGGCGCGAAGACCGTCGTCGTGCTCGTCGACCGGCTGGAGGTGCTCGGCTGCAGGACCAAGGACACCGAGGACAAAGAGCTTTGGTTGCTGCACTCGGTGGTGACGGGGGGCAATCCCCTTGGCCTCTGCGCTGTGTCACCAGGCGCGCCCTTCACGTTCGCGTGCCCCGGCGCCAGGGATGGTGAGGTGCACGTCGAGCGGTGGGAGGACAAGGGGGAGGTCGCGGGGTCCGTGGTGGCCATACGTGCACACTCTTCCCGCCTTGCATCCATTGCCATGTCTTGCGACGGCCGGCTCGTGGCCACAGCTAGCGTCAGGGGCACCCTCGTGCGCGTCTTCAGCGCCACTGACGGCGCGTTGCTCCAAGAGGTAAGTGGCGGCGCATAGATCTTAGATCGCCGGTAGTCAACGATGCCTATCAAATTATGTCTTTTTTTAACGGTATCAGATTATGTTTTGTCAAATTTTGTTCAAAGGAAAATTGAAATAAAAACAAATAAATAAGAAGTAGAAATCATGCATACGCAAAGCTGTCTATCTTTCCAAGGATAGAAGAAAATAGAATGATTGTAAGGGAGGGTATAACACATGGCACAAACACAAGATGACATGTAGGTCAACTGGTCAAGTAATGGAAATGAAAAGCAATTGACTAAATCTACTGATTATAGCTCAATCCAATACCTTGTGCAATTCTACAAGGTTATGCCTTGAAATGATTATTTTTTTTGTTCTCTGCAATCTGGTTATTGAAAACTCTCAGTTGCTCATCATCCTGAACATAAAAGGAAGTATCACACAGCTGTAAAGATAACAGCATCGTCTAAACTAGGAGGGCTTGTAGTTAGTACGTTTTCAGATCAGCAGGAGAGTGCAATCAACACTAGGAATAACATAATACTATTTTTGGAGACTAAAATGGTGTAAACTTACCTTTGGAAAAGGAATATAGAATTTAATTCCGAAGAGTTTCGCTATGCCACTGGACTTTGAAGGTTTCCGCCCTTGTAGTCCCCCTTACCAGCCTCTTCAAGGATGATGTCTGAAAAAAATACAAATTTCAATTAAGTACAAATTTTTAGCCATTGCTATGCTAATGCCACCATAAATGAAACCAACTCTCCAAGTCATTATTGCAAAGAAAAGTAGCTCACAGGAACAATGTAAATTCGACTGCAGAACATCATGCAACAAGGGAGAGAATGACCCAATTATGTTTTCTACCTACTTCGCTAAGGTAGAGCATTTGTTAGGTTAACAATGAAAAGCACTGCATATTCTGGAGGGTGCATTTAAATTGTGGTGGCTTCATAAAAGCACTTCCATTATGCTAGTTTTTTACATATAAACCTACGGCAAGATTCTTCTGATAGTTGTGACAGCAATATTTTACTAGATTTGATAATTATTCTCTGCAGCCAACTAGATTTGATAACAATTCTCTGCAACCAACTGTAGGTTTGTTAATCGTTCTCTGCAACTATCTACAGTTTAGTGCAGTGCAGTGCAGTGCAGTGCAGTTTAACAGCAACCTGCCACCAGGCAGTCTTTGCCAGACCTGTCTGGAGTTGGGCACCTGGTAAGGCCGGCCAACTTGGATCAGCTAAGACAAACATTGTTTCGAGTTTCGACCAGGTCAGGCCAGGCCTTGCTTGCTAGCAGGCTTATAATGTTGCACTTACTCTCACCTTGATCTGGCACAGGGACTAAGCATATATGGGATTGCTTTTGTATTTTCTTCAAAAAAATAAAAATGATGTGAGGTCATGCAAGTAGCATACCAAGTGGTCAACTGCTAACTTATCCAGCTATATCAAACTTATCCCTTACTCTGTGCTAATAATGTGGGATGAGCACAATGAACAGAGCCCATGGGAATATTTAGCAGGTTAGGTTAAGCAGTGTATACATGTTATCAATGCTAAAAGTTTCTTTCATTCCCAGAGTCACCCATCACTGGTAATACAAAACAAATGAGGGAACGGCCAAATGAGAATACAAAAGAGCAAGGGAAAATAGCATGATACTTTTGCAGGTCTCTTCCGGTTGAAGGCCTCATAGATGCAATAAACTAGGCAGTAGGCACATACTGTGCCATAACTTATACCTAGATGGCTAGATGAGCACAAGAGACAATTAAAAAGCTAGATGGGAGAATGAGAATGTTTTCTCAATCAGTTGTAACAGAGAAAAACCACGAAACAAACACATTCTTGAATAGATTAGCAAGAAATTACCAGTGGGGACAGGCAAGAGAGATTGTGAAACACCAGCTCGGGTTTGACTTTAATCCGTAGTACTCATTCTTAGTTGTTCCAAGAAGATCTTTCCATGTTTAAAAGAAGAAGAAAAACTTCCTGTTGTGAATTTAAGTTCTAGCATTTGTGCACATTGAGTTCTTCACGCATATGTTTCAAGAAAATGCAAAAACAAAATGTGTTCAGTACACACATTGCATCTTATTTAGGGTATGAGCTAATGGGTAAATAACTTTTCCATGTCTGTGTCCCTGTTAGCTGAGGAGAGGCCGAGACGGAGCAGACATCCACTGCATCGCCTTCTCTCCGGATTTAAAATGGTTGGCGGTCAGCAGCGACAAGGCGACCGTGCACGTGTTCAGCGTCAATGTCGATTTGCCAAGCCTGACACCGGAGGACAGCAACGGTCCCGGCGGTCTCCTAGCAGCCCCGGCGCCGTCGTCTCCAGCAGTAGCTACAGCCAACAAGAGGTCGTCGCTGTCGTTCGCTGGAGGTAATATACTCATAACTCACACGTGTGAGTCCAGGTCTCCAAGCACAAAGTTTATGTTGATTCCTGCATATCTATGTGCATGAGGAACTGAAGGTTGACATCCAAATCCTGCAGGATTCTTGCCGGGCTATTTCAGTTCAGAATGGTCGTCGACTCAGATCCGCGTCCCTGAAGGCACCAAGTACTTGGTCGCGTTCAGCAGTCAGCCAAACACCCTTCTCATCCTCGGCATTAATGGACGGTTGGTCAAATATATATACTACTGTACTTGAATTTGCCCTTGCTCTTTTGAGTTTATTTGCTCCGAACTGAAGTGCACTGTTCTAGTCGAGCTTATTTGTGACACTTTTCGCGTGACATTTTGCGGCTGTGGTTTGTGCAGCTTCTACCGGTGCCGATTCGACCCGGAAAAAGGAGGCGTAGTGGACGTGCGGCACAAAGGGACGCCTTGTGGGAGTGAGGAACAAGACGTGGAGTGCATCAACTTCATGAATCCGAGCAAGAAAACATCTAATTCGAAGCCATCATATGGCAGCTAGCCTTGTTATCTTTGCTTTCTTCATCTTCGTCTGTCTTAGGGATGCGGATTTGGAACCTCCAGGGTATCCTTCGATCCTACTTATAGTTCAACTAAATGAACTAACTTTTCAGAATTCACCTCACTTTTGAAAAAATAGTTCATTTGGTTGAACCAAAAAAGTATCGGAGGGTATCCTTTAGATTCAACATTTGCATCCCCAGTCTGTCAGAACAGTAATAAATGCACTACTGTCTGCGGCCCTACACCATTTTGGAACGGTGCATGATTTTGTTTTTGTTCAATGCATTTTGTTACTGTTGTTTGGTGCGTACGCACGTCTGTTTGCTAGCAGTCGGCACTTGCACTCATGATCATGATCTGATGGACATGGTGACAACCTCCGCCACCCCGACTAATCTGGATCAGATCGACCACATCTCCCAAGTATTCTGGGGTGCACTGTTAAACAAGGATGTGTTCTGGGACGAGAACCTTGTAGAGGACACTCAGATTATGGCGGCGTATCATTGCCTTCTCTTTGCATCAATCATCTCTAAAAGAAAATGGCAGGTTGAGGGACAGAGAAGATCAGAAGATTGAATACTTGGCAAAAGAAAGGACTACTAACAATGATGCCTATGGTGAGAAACACATCCCCACTGTGCTTACTTCTGCTAATGATAAAATTGGTACTATTGCACATGATGTGGGAATATGGTTGATTATGATATCAACCTTATTAAAATAGTTGAGCTGGTCAGGGTGGACATGTGGGTTAAAAATAAATTTAATAAAAACTCAACCCCTATTAAGGAGGTGAGATTTGTGATTGAAACTAGGGAAAATACTATTAAAGATTTAATTGGGGGTGGGTGTGATATAGAAGGGGATCATCTTAAGCACTTATTTTCTCGTAAGAAAGGAAAAAACAAAAGCAACTTAACAAATGTCTTGCTGGGATAAGTCGTAAACAAGGAGATTCTCAGTTTTGGTCCAAAGTCCAAACTGATTAGGTATCAAGAACATTTCCTGTCTCCATGCAGGTTTGTGGTGGAAATGGGCAAAATATGAGATTTTGGAAGGACTGGTGGGTTGGTAATAAACCTCTTAAGGAAATTTCCTCAGGTTATATAATATGTGTTTTGAGAAAAATGGATTGGTTAGTGATCTGTCAGACAGAGGGCTTGATTGTGTTCAATTTAGAAGAGCACTTCACGGCTATTCTCTGGAGCTCTGGAACCACATCAAATCTGTTTGTGATGGGGTGGTGTTAACAGATCAAAAAGATGTCATTAGGTGGACTTTGACAAAAAAATGGAATATATACTGTTAAATATTATTATAGATATCTGATTTAAAATGGGATAAATTATCCACATAAATTTATGAGGAAAATTAAAATGCCTCCCATAGTGAACGCTTTTCTCTGGTTGGTGCTCTGAAATAGCATCCTTACCAAAGACAATCTGCTCAAGAGGGGATGTGGAGATAAAAGTTGCCCTTTCTGTGGGAGAGATGAGAGTGGAAGTGCCTATGGCACTTATTTATATTTTGGTATGATGACAATGTGGTCAGAAGAACTAATATCGGTTCCTAAAAGTTTACTCTGGATATTGG